TACAATTTGTATCTTTTGTTTAATTATTTTTAGATTGAAGGTGCGTTATTATTTTTTTTTTTGTACATAATAAAAGATAATTATCTCTCATATTTTATTTTAACCCACTCGCGTGCGTCATATAACTCAAACTCAAAATATCTTATTTCTAATAAAAGGAAGTAACCATTATACAATTTAGATTGTTCGCTGTTATTTTTCATTTTTAATCTCAAGAAAACAGTAATTTTAGATGAAAATTTATCCCGAAAATTCACCATATGAGCACAAAAATAAAAATGATGAAAAGAAGACACATTAATTTGTTCATCTTTACTTGCCTCAGTCACCTTATCAACAACTCTGTACGCAAATCCCCATTCAATCACAGAAAAAAATAAAAGAAAAAACAATCTTGCTCAGACCAAAATTCAATTCCATCTTGTCCAAATATATATGAAGCTAGTAATAATATTATTTGTATTTGGTGTATTTGTTTTAACAACATTAATACTATTTTTTGTTTTATCTTTTATTTTAGTCAATTCATATATTATGTGACTTGAATTTAAAATATTTTATTTTTAATAAAAAAAATAACTGTTATACTATTTAAGTTGTTGGCAGTTATTTTTCATTTTTAACCTCAAGAAAACAGTATTTTAGATGAAAATTTATCCCGAAAATTCATCATATGCGCACCAAAAAAAAAAAAATGATGAAAAGAAGACACATTAATTTGTTCATTTTTACTTGCATCAATCACCTTATCAACAACTCTGTACGCAAATCCCCATTCAATCACAGAAAAAAATAAAAGAAAAAACAATCTTGCTCAGACCAAAATTCCATTCCATCTTGTCCAAATATATATGGAGCTAGTAATAATATTAATTGTATTTGGTGTATTTGTTTTAACAGCATTAATGTTATTTCTCGCTTTCTTACAGATGGTCGACACTAGTCTGGCTCACACGTTTTCAAAAATACAAGTTACCATACCGTACCGGGGAATCTGAGAAAAAGCGGAGGTAAAAATGTTAATTTTGTAAATTTTTTTATTTAAAAATGTAAATTTTGTTAATTTTTAATTAATAATGTAAATTTTTAATTTTTTATTAAAGAATTTTAATTTTTTATTATTTATTTAAAAATTAATTAAATAATAATACTTATATAATAAATGTAAAATTAATATTTTTAAATAAAAAACAAACTTAATATCTTTAAATAAAAATAAAAAATTATTATTTTAATTTAAAATATATCAAAATTTATAGTTTTAAATAAAAAAAATTACAAAATCCCCTCAATTCCTACAAAAAGCAAAAAAGACACAAAAAATGGTAAATATATATACAGTTAAAATTTCAAATTAATCCCTTAACTTTTAATTTTATACTAAAATTATCTTTAAACTTTAAAAAGTATCAAAAATGTCCCTAAACTTCAATTTTTAACATCATAATTATCCTTATATCAACGAAAGTGACAGCTATAGCTTTAAATTACCAGAAAATTATTCCTTTTTTAAAAAAATGATGACACGTAAAAACACTAACTGCCTTTTGATGACGTGACAATTTTTGTTCATTCACCTCAAATTTTTAAATTTTCACATATTTCAACCCTTCCTAATCTTTTTAATATATAAGTTAATACATTAAAAATATAAAAATACATAAATACCCCTATCTTTATCCTTTAACCTCTCTTTCTTTGTCTTCCTCTTTGTTTCCTTCCTCCAAGAAAAAGCCTCTAACCTAGAAGTCTCTCGTCTATCTCCATAATCACTGCTCTGCCCCCCTCTCTTAGAAATTGTCATTTTCTCTTAAGGAATCCTAAACAAGCAGAAGGTATAAGATATACCATTTACCTAGTCACAACTCTAGATTTGGGAATTGATATTAGTGAGTGGGAACTAGAGTCAAGCTTCGGTCACCGAAGGCATGTCCAAGATGACAATGGGGTAGACGTGGTGTGTGGCCAATGAGAATGCTAACTAAAAGAAGTTGCAGGAGGCACTTGATTTTGCTTGTGGTGAAGGCAAGGTGGATTGCATTCTGATCCAAACATGCTCGAGGTGTACACTTCCTACGCCTTCAATTGCATTAGGATTTCTTAGTGATGTACTGTGGCTCAATTGATTAGGATTAGGGTTTGTAGTGAAAGGGGGAAAATGGGGAAGAGAGGGAAAAATCTTTCATTTAATGATTTTGAACTCTCTATTTGTATATTTTGATGGTTTGGTGAGACTAAGAAATTGTGATTTAAGGGGTTAATCTTTCCAAGTTCATGATTCTCTCTAAAAATTTATGGAAATTGATTAGAGAAAAAAAAAAAACAAGAATTTTTGGATTTTTTTCCCTAGAATTTCTTTTTCAATTTTGTAGTTACATCATGGGTTAATGCTTGATCCCCATTTTTATGGCCTTTTATTTCGTTTGGCTTCGATCAAAGATGTTGCAAATCAACTTTGAGAGGAAATGTAGAAGAAAGTAACGTGAAACTCAACTTTCAATTTAGAGAATTTGTGGGTACTTAATTGTATAAGATTGAAAAATACCATACGATAAGAAAAGAAAATGATTTAGGAACAATTTTTTTTTTATATCACTTTTTTATATTATTTTATGTATAATTTAAATTATTGACTATTTTTATTCATTTGAAACTATAAATATTTGAACACATTAATTCATTTAATAATATATAAAAATTATATAAAAAAATTATCCCTATAACACTGTTAAGAAAATATGTCATTTCATAAGCTTTATGCTTGTTTTATTTTCCACATCATTATTTTTTAAAAGAATGTGTTATTTTTTGGCAATTTAATGTTATAGCTGTTATTTTTGTTAACG